CTGCCTCCACATCGCGCTGTTCATCTGCAAGGCTAACGCGCCAATAGCCATGTTTGTTCCCTTGTGCTGGTTTCTTGCTAAGGAAGGACTGCCGGACCTTCCACCGTCTGGAGGGTACGGCGCCTACTATACCGAGTAAGTGCGATTTCGTGGCGCTTGTGTTTGGGCCGCGACTCAAGCTGATCAGATGCTAATGCTACTTGTGTTCGTGTGCCATGTGTGTTGTCCTCGCAGCTACGGATTCAAAGAGATGTTGCGCGCAACCGCCACTTACCTTCAAGAGACTCAACGCGGCCACCTGCTGGAATCCCCATACATAGGGATTCTTCTGGATGAGAGCACCGACCGGGTGAATGGCAAGCACCTGATACTGTATGCGACGTTCTTCAAAGGGGTAACTCCGGTAACGGAGTTTTTAACTCTCATTACAGTGTGAAAGGAGGCTAGGTCGGGGAACAGGTAGGGGAGAGTGAGGCGGCCTAGCGTGGCAGAAGCGGGTGAGGAGTAGCGGGCCACTACAGCTGTGTAGAGGTCCTTAGCAGTCTTGCACTGGCCGAAGTGCTCGCGCTCATCTAGCGGTAGGGAGTTGCGAATAGCAAAGCGAGCGTGCGCGTCACGGGTCTGCCACTGTGAGCGCTCAGCTGGGGGGGCAGTAGCGAGTGGGGCGGTCGCATGGCCGAGAGCGTGGTCGTACAGTGTAATATCTTCCTTGGCAGTGAGCTGTAGGAAAAGGTGCAGGTCATCTAGCCAGGTTTCGAATTTGACCGGACGGCCCTCGGCGTCGAAAGCTAGAACAGGAGGACTAGCCATAGCGACAGCGGCAGTAGTAGAAGCAGTAAGGTCACTGAGAAGGCGTGCGCATGGTCAGCGGGGCCGGTGGGGCCTACGGACTGTAGTGGCGCACAAGCAGCAGTAGCAGGAAGTGTAGTAGTAGGATCTGCAGTGGTGCACAGGCGCAGCAGGCGGCAGCGAGAGCCGGCGCAGCAGGGGCGGGCTCAGCAGCGGTGATACGCGGGCGGCGGCGGGCGCAGCAGCGGCGGTGCGCGGGCGGCGGCGGGCTCAGCAGCAGCGGTGCGCGGGCGGCTGCGGGCTCAGCAGTGGCGGGCCGGGAGCAGGCAGCGCGCGGGCCGTGCGGGCCGTATGTGAGCTGCGCGGGCAGCGTGCGGGCCGGCGGCGGTCAGCGCAAGAGCCGCGCAGGCTCAGCGCGGGCTGCGCGGGCTGCTCGCGGGCTGCGTAAGCGGGTCGCGGGCGGCTCGCGGGGGTTCGCGGGCAGGTCGCGGGCTGCTCGCGGGCAGTTCGCGGGCTGTGCGCGGGCTGCGCGGGCTGGTCGCGGGCTGCGCAGGCGGTTCGCGGGCTGTGCGTGGGCGGTTCGCGGGCTGTGAGCGCGGCGCGCTGTGCGGTTCGCGGGCGGCGTGACGGGGCCGATCGGGGCGCTAAGGGGCGACGCGACGGGGGCCGTGAGAGGCCGCTAGGAAAAAAAAATTCGAAGGGGCCGCAGGGCCGCTAGATCGTGCTAGATCGACGGGGCCATCGGGGCCGGAAACAAGCGAAGGTAAGCAGGTAGGTAAGTCGGTGGGCCCTAAGAACAGTCCTAGCGAAGGACCTGCTCTGAAACCATGTCAGAAATAACTGAGCAGGAATGAATGAACTAGAACAGAGTTTGGTACAAGTAGGAAACCCTAACTTTGTGTACCCCCTAAGGTGTAACCCACTACAGCCTAGACAATATAAACATGCAATGTTTGACACTTATTTGTATGGCAGGTGAGTGCTGTCAGAATATTATGCTCTAGCCTGCAGTGGGGTGCTCTATAGCGAGTACAGCCCTTCTAGGGTTAGCTATTTGTACCACCGTTGTTGCTAGTGCAAACCCCTCTTTTCGTTCAAATCTCTCTTGCCTAGCTAGGGTTCTCCTAGCTATGGCCTCTCACTGTACCTACTATTTCGACATGGTATCAGAGCGGTTACGCTCTTGGCCTGTGGGCCCCACTACTGCTTCCGCTGCCCTACTCTGTGCCGCGCGCCCCGTGGCGCGCGGCCTTCAATTTTTCATCCCGCCGCGCGCTCGGAGCGTGCGGCGGTTCCCTGCCCGCCGTGCGCGCCGAGGCGCGCGGCGGTTTCCAGCCGTGGGGGAGCCCGCGCGCACCCCGCCCGTCCGTCGCGGCGCCCTGGGGAGCACTCGCGGCCCCCACCCTGCACGTCGCGTCGCCCCCGTCGACCCTAGCGTCGCCTCCGGAGACCCGCGCGCACCCCCCCACCGTCGACTCGCCTCCCGTCGCCCGTCGTGGCCTGCGCGCGGCCCGTACAGCCGGCGCGCGGCCCGTACGGGCTGCGCCAGGCCTGCGCGCGGCCCGTACGGGCTGCGCCAGGCCTGCGCGCGGCCCGTACGGGCTGCGCCAGGCCCGCGCGCGGCCCGTACGGGCTGCGCCAGGCCCGCGCGCGGCCCGTACGGGAAGCGCCAGGCCCGCGCGCGGCTCGGGCCGCCTGCGCGCGGTTCGGGCGGCTGTGCCAGGCCCGTGGGCGGCCCGTTCCTCGCTGCCCCTGCCCTCCCCACTGTCCCCCGTGCTTCTACTGGCGCCCCACCCCTCCTACAGCCCGTTCTCCTGAATTAGGGTTTGGGGGTGAGGGGTATGGGGGTGAAGACACTGCGTGCCGTTCCCTGCTCCTCCTCCTCCTCCCTAGTCTCCCTCTGCTACAGCTGCCGCTGAGGGGGGTGGTGTGTGGGAGCCTAGGGTTTGGGGTTTAAGGGGGGTGCCGTGGGAATGGAGCTAGGGTTTCAGCAGTGGGTGTGTGGGGGGTGTGTGGGGCAGTTGGAGGAGGTTGAGCGGAGGTTGCCGTCGTGTCGTCCGCAGCACCTGTATTCCGGGGCCTTTCTCCTCCCGGTAGCTCAGAGAGCCGGTTGCACCTGTCGCCCGTGGGTCCGTTGCTACTGTCGCTGGCTGATCAGTTGCAGAGCCTGTTACTCCTGTATTCCGGGGCCTTTCTCCTCCCGGTAGCCACCAGCGTTGCACCAGAGCCGTCTGTTGCCCGAGTGTCTGCAGCTTCAGTCGTCGCCTCCACTCTTCTCTCATCTCACCAGCCCTCCTCCTCCTCGCTTGCCCTCTGTGACAGCTTTAGCTTTACCCATAATTGTGAACTTTAAACTTTTGCTTCTTGTTCATGTGCTCAGAATGTGTGGTGACATCGTGATCCACCCTGAGCTTGTACTGCTTTGCTTGCTGTGCTGATTACACCCCACTTTGGCTATGGGGGTGTGTCAGAATATTATGCTCTAGCCTGCAGTGGGGTGCTCTATAGCGAGTACAGCCCTTCTAGGGTTAGCTATTTGTACCACCGTTGTTGCTAGTGCAAACCCCTCTTTTCGTTCAAATCTCTCTTGCCTAGCTAGGGTTCTCCTAGCTATGGCCTCTCACTGTACCTACTATTTCGACATGGTAGTGCGCCCATAACCCCCCAGGCCAACATGCCTGTAACCCTTCCCTAGGATCAATCGGGGATCACCAGTGGCACTCTGACATTTGGAACCCCAAGCTCAGCTAGCAGCATGGCAGTGCGTTTTATCCTGTAACTTCCAGACGCCTCAGAGTCATGGCAGGTAAAAGCTAGGTTTTTTATTAGAATGCGGATGCGCTACTAGCGTGACAATAGAAAATGAGGAGCCGTCAATGGCTGACGTTCGCGAAGCTAGCAGCATGGCGTCGCGGGTGGGAGGTGACGGAGAATCGTCAACGGGGGCAGCGAATGGACAGCTCAAGCGACGCGAGAACAAGCGACAGAAAAAGTTACCGTCGGCGCCGCCGCCGCCGCCGCCGCCGCCAGTTCACTTCGACGACTCGGTCGACAAACTACCCGCGGCGCTCTGGCACCGCATCTTCCGCCTGCTGCTGCAGCGCCGCGGCGACTGCACCGCCACGCCGCCGCACCTCCCCACCAGCCTCTACGGGTGCCCCTCGGGCTTCAAGCCGCCGACACCCGAAGAGCGCGCCGCGGGCATGCAGAGGGTGGAGTTCTCGAGGGAGGGGGGTACGGCGTGCTGGCAGCACGCGAGGAACTCGCGGATGTATGGCTTCTCGTGGCCGCTGCTGTGCTGCGGCATCGCCAGCAAGAGGCTTCTCCTCCACGTCGTCTCTTTCACTGTTAGTGCCGCCGCACCCCGCGTGCAATGAGGTGATTTTTGAGGTACCTCAAAAATCACCGCTGCTGTGCTGCGGGCTCGCCAGCAAGAGGCTTCTTCTTCTCCACATCGCCTCCTTCGCTGTTAGTGCCGCCTCATCCCTCAAAGCCCTCGCAATGTTGAATTTACCTTTGAGAATTCTCAACAGTAAATTCAACATGGCAGCTGCTGTGCTGCGGGCTCGCCAGCAAGAGGCATCTCCTCCACGTCGTCTCCTTCGCTGTTGTGCCGCATCCTCCATTCCGTCGCTTTATTCCCTACGTCCTTCGCTGTTAGTGCCCCCGCACCCCTCAAAGCCCTCGCTCCATTGCGTGCTCATCCCTTCCCCACCCTTGCCCGACCTTTCTTTTCTCCTGTCACCTTCCATTTCCGTACGCCCTCGCCTCCTTCCCGTACGCTCTCGCCTTCCCGTTTGTTCTCGCATTTCCGTACGCTATCGCATTCCCGTTCGTTCTCGCATTTCCGTACGCTATCGCGTTCCCGTTCGCTCTCGCATTCCTGTGCGCTCTCGCCTTCCCGTACGCTAACGCATTCCCGTACACTTCCGCCTTCCCGTACGCCCTCGCCTTCCCGTACGCCCTCGCCTTCCCGTACGCTCTCGCCTTCCCGTACGCTCTCGCCTTCCCGTTCGCTCTCGCATTCCCGTACGCTTTCGCATTTCCGTACACTCCCGCCTCCCGTACGCCCTCGCCCTCCCGTACGCTCTCGCCCGTTCGTTCTCGCATGCCCTTACGCTTTCGCATTCCCATGCACTCCCGCCTTCCCGTACGCCCTCGCCTTCCCGTACGCCCTCGCCTTCCCGTACGCCCTCGCCTTTCCGTCTCTTATGTTATGCCCACCCATCCTTTACGCCCTTCCCCCACACTCCCCTAGGGTGACATCAACCCCATCTGCCTGCACCTCACGCCCCTCAAGCCGGTTTCTGAGATTTTTCAAAAACCAGCTCATCCCTTCTGTTATGCGCTCGTCAACTCATCCTTTACACCCTTCCCCCACGCACCACCAGGGCGACGACAACCCAATCTGCCTGCACCTCACGCCCCTCAAGCCGGTTTCTAAGAATTTTCAAAAACCAGCTCGTCCCTTCAGTTATGGCCCCGTCAACCCATCCTTTACACCGTCCCCTACCCACCACCAGGCCGACGACAACCCAATCTGCCTGCACGTCACGCCCCTCAAGCCCCTGTGGACCAACTGCGTGCTCTGGTTCCTCTCGCACGCGCCCGCTCTCCCCGCCCTGCGCCTCTCCTTCGCCTGCCAGTCCCTCGTCCCCCTCGTCCACCACCGCGCCCCCTCCTTCCCCTCCTTCGCGCTCACCTCGCTCCACCTAGCCCTCTCCCGAAGGGCCCGGGACGAAGCCGACTTATACGAGCCGGCAAGCTGGAAGCTCAACTTTCTCGCCCCCTGCACCAGTCTGCACTCGCTCTCTCTCGGCCTGGGCGCATGGCGCCTGGACAAGCCCTGTGTGAAGGCTCGCTGGATGCGCTCCCTTCGGAGCCTCACCCTAGAAGGCGTGGATCCCAGGGGTGTGTGTCTGAAGGCCCTCGCTGATCTTACCCTGCAGCTGCATGATTTCACCTTCAGCGAGCCGCAGCACCTGCAGGAGTGGGGGGAGACGTCTGGACCTGTGTTCCTTGCCCTGGACTTCCCCAATGCTCGCCGCCTCCGCTTCCGCTTCCTGCATCACGAGCTGAAGCTGAAGCTGTCTCTGCCTGCTGCGTTCCACACTTTTTCCGCCTGCGCCCAGTCGCTCATACTCAGCTGCAGCAGCACTGGTGCCTTGAGTCTGGAGCAGTTGTTTCTCTATGCGAAAGAGAAGATACATGTGAACTGGTTTGACGTCGCTTCGGTCCGCGCTCTCTACCTGAACGCTCCAATCAAGCTCCTGCCGAGCGCCACACCACACGCACACAGGATGGGGCCGCAGCACGGCGGGGTCTACACCACGCGGCCGGCGCCGTTTTCCTGGGCAGATTGGCTGCGCAAAGTAGCGCCAATAGCGGAGGCGCTTATAACGAGGCATGATATCAACGTGGAGTCATGCCGGCTTGCCTGGCCGCTGCTTGGGGTTGTGGTGGAGAGCGACTGTGATGTGGGGAGCATGGTGTCCGGGGAGATTACAGTGGAGGATGTAGACGAGGGGGAGGACGATGACTTGGTGCTGTGGAGGCGGGAGAAGCGGCGCATGGAGAGGAGGCAGGAGCGCAGGGATCACCAGAGGCACACTCTCCGCGGCCGTACGCGGTTCCATGCAGGCCCGTTCGGTAAGCAGGTGGCTGCAGGGGCTGATGATGGGGACCGCAGGGAATCTATCTATGCGACTGCAGGAGGCTCCGAAAGCGACGAGGAGGAGGAGGAGCAGCGAGGCGCGTTTGCTGATAACGAGACAGAAGGCCGGGAGGAATTCCCGGAGCTTCTGTTTCTCGAAGCTCCGAACCTGCAGGCTCTCTTCTTCCCGAGCCGTAGCTTGGTGCCTCCCGAACTGCTGGCCACCCTCAAGGATCGATACCCCTTATTGGCGCTGTACTGTGTTGTGTGGCGCACGTTTTACTGGGAGCGGAAGGGACAGCCAGTGGAGGGAGGCCCGGTGGAACACACGAGGCGGCACAGGGGCACGAAGAAGAGCCCGTCGTTCCGCAACGGGCGGAAGACCGTGCGGGACAAGATGCACAGCGTAAATGGGGGATTGGTAGCGGGGTATACGCTAGGCGAGGAGGATTCGTATATGGTGGATAAGGAGTGGCCGGCGGTTTTTTATGCCGAGGACCACCCAATGCCTGAGCTTCCTGCGCCGGATGCTCCCTATACAGAAGCGGAAGACAGGCCCCAAATTTCAAGGGTATTTTACCCTTTTTGCCCTGCTCATAGGCCACTTTTTGGCAGTTACCCTTTTCAAATCAGGGTATGCAAATTTTTACCCTAGTGCAATCAGAATACGCGTAAAAGTACTCTTGAAGCTTTTCCAATTACACTGACTGTATCAGGGTAGAGGTTCAACTACCCTTTTACCGAAACTTTCCCATACCGCGGATTCCGCCACAGTCCGCGCCACGACGAATTCCTCCACGGTCCCACTGGACCATTTGTTGGATACACCCACAGACGCGCCAACGTACATTCAATGCGGATGGCACCGCACAGCTACGATTGGTCCGTTGAGCAACATTGAAGCCAACGCACCCAGTTACCGTGCGTCACGCAACATCGCGCACTGCCAACGGAGCTAAATTGCGCGCCAGGTGGGGTACGTGCTGTCGTTTCCACCACCTGGCAGTCACTGTGGCCTTGCAGCCATTGCCATGCAGTTCCCTACCAGCGAGGGAACCTTGCGGCCTGAGGCGCCTTGGGCTTTGTGATTCCCGAGGGGTCTCTCAGGCTCTGGCCATTCTCTCGTTTCCCTCTCGTTTGTTCTACCGAATGCCTGCATCTGAGCCTGATCCGCCTGGTAGCACCAGGAACGGTCTCTCCGTTCTCGGTGTGTTACCTCGGCTGGCTGAAAACTATAGCGTCCCTATCTCTCAGCCTGCGCGTGAGCCATCCCCTGAATGTCTTGTCGGCACCGTTTTCCCGTGCGAGCGTTCGGCCTCGCCAAAGTCCTGGGAGCCACACCCGTCTCTCGAGCTTGTTCCCGATGGCGGCGAAGGCCCGTCGAAGCCGGCCACTGCAGCCCCGTCCACAATTAGCTCCGCGCCCGTGAAGCGACAGCGTGTCGGCGTGACATACAAGCAGGAGAGGCTCTGGGGCGCCCCTCCTCCACGACAAGCGGCATCACCGCCACGCCGTGCTGCTCCTGCTCAGCCGAAGCCTCCTACCGCTTCTGCAGAGGCTGAGTATGAGTTGGTAAAAACGACTTTCGATTCGCAATGGTCAAAGAAATTCAGTTGGTTGCGCTTAATGCGCATGACTAACGGCAGGCCTTCACTGAAATGTGCCATCTGCATCAAGCACGGGGATCCGAACGCGCACACTGCCTACGGCGTCAGAGGTGAGGGTGCGCGAGACATGTCAGAAATAACTGAGCAGGAATGGATTGAACTAGCACATAGTTTGGTACAAGTAGGAAACCCTAACTTTCAGTACCCCCTAAGGTGTAACCCACTACAGCCTACATAATATAAGCATGCAATGTTTGACACACCCCCATAGGCGCAGTGGGAGACAACCACAGGGTCACAAGACCAGTCAAAGCAAAGCAAAGCAAGCTCAGGGTGGATCTCAAGGATTCCACACAAATTCCGAGCACAAGCAAGCGGTCACAAGACCAGTTCACATGCAGGTTTATAACAAAGCAAGAGATACAGTGATCACAACCTAGCAAAAGTAAACAAGTAGGCATATATATATATAGTGATCACAGTACAAGCAAGGTCAAGAGGTAAGCAAGTGAGGCCCAGTAGGTACAAGGCCTAGCAGAGTGCAAAAGCGCTGATGGTCACAAGGCTGAAGTGCCTTGGTGAACACATCAGCAGTGTTGGCCTCCGTGGCCACGTAACGCAGACAAAGCTGACCACGCTGCTGCAGCTCTCGAGCAAGGAAGTACCGCAGAGCGATGTGCTTCGTTCTGTGCTCCAGTCTGTGCTCCTCACACAAGGCAATGGCAGCCTTGTTGTCGACGTACAGCACTGGAGGAGAACGAGGCCGCTCTCCGAGGTCGGTCAGCAGGTAGGTCAGCCAGCGTAGCTCCTGAGCAGCCATGGCTGTGGCGTAGATCTCAGCCTCACAACTGGAGCTGAGAACAGAAGAAGAGCGAGTAGAACGCCAAGAAACTGAGCCAGAGCCAAGGCTGAAGGTGTAACCCTGGGACGACCGCTGAGTAGCCTGGTCGTCTGCCCAAGAAGCGTCTGAGTGCCCTGTGAGAACAACCCGGTCTCGCCCTCCAAGCACAAGCCCCATGCCCGACGTACTGCACAGGTAGCGCAACACCCTCTTAGCAGCATCCATGTGCTCCTTCCGGTGACGGCCAGGAGCGACATAGCGTGCTAGGATGCTAAGAGGGTATGCAAGGTCAGGTCGAGTGCAGGTCATCAGGTACATGAGGCAGCCCACAAGCTCTGGATACGGGCCACTCGGCTCTACGGACTCATCCGAAGGCAGAGCTGAGAGCGAGTGACCGGTAGGCAGAGGAGTGGACTGAGGCGAGGAGTACGTGAAGCGGAAGCGCTGGAGAACCTGCTGCACCATGTGTGACTGAGTCAGGGTGATGGTGCGCCGTGCTCTGTCCCGGGTGATCCGCAAGCCAAGATAGCTCGTCAGCTCACCCAGGTCTGTGCACGTGTGTCTCCTCTGCAGCTCCGACTTCACGTGAGCGAGTGCCGCGGTGTCAGCAGTGGCAAAGACCAAGTCGTCGACGTACACGAGGATGTAGAACGGCGGCAGCGAGGTGTCGGTGCGTAGAAACAGCGACGGGTCAGCAGTAGAGGGAGCGAACCCAAGAGCCGCAAGTGTCGTCCTCAGTGTGTCGTGCCACTCACGTGGCGCCTGGCGGAGACCGTAGACCGGCCGCTGAAGCCTCCACTGGGTGCCAGGAGGAACTGACCCAGTGAAGCCAGGGGGGCGACGCAGCCAGATCTCCTCGTGCAGGCTGCCCTGCAAGAAAGCAGTGCTGAAGTCAAGAGAGTGAAGCTCGTAGTCGCGGTGAGCGGCTATGTGCAGCAGCACCCGAAGAGTAGTCATCTTCGGGGTGGGGGAGAAGGTCTGAAAGAAGTCTACTCCCTCTCGCTGACTGAAGCCTCGAGCCACGTAGCGCGCCTTGAAAACAGGCGGAGAACCCGGCGGCCGCTTCACCCTGAAAATCCACATGCCACTGACAATGTTCGCCCCAGGAGGGGGAACCTCGTCTACGTAGGTGCCTGTGGACTTCCAGGAGGCCATCTCTGCGTCCATGGCTGTCTGCCACTGAGAGGAGTAGGGACCCGCCATCGCCTCAGCGTAAGAGCGTGGGGTCGGGATGTCTGGTGCATCCGGGTCTCCCTCAGGGGCAACTAGCAAGGACACGAGACGGGGCAAAGCAGCAGCAAGGCAGTGGAACTCCTCCTGTCTGTCCTCAAGGACGTCCGTGCCGAGGGCACACTCACCCCCGACGGACGGAGGACAGGCAGACGCAGACTCAGACCTAGCGACAAGGCTGGCAGCGTAGTCTAGGCGACAGCGAGCAGCAAAGTCAACCAACTCAGCGACCAGAGCAGACGCAGCAGAGGACTCAAAGGTCGGGTCAGTGACAACTGTAGCGAGGAGACGCGTAACAGTGGGACTGGCAGCACGACGGGAGTCAGACTCCGGGTCAGGAAGAGTAGGAAGAGAGGACGCAGGAGGAGACGGCAGCGGGACACGCTGCGGAGCAGTGGAGGGACGCAGAGTCATGTAGTGAGTGCCAGGGACAGGAGGAGGACGCTCACGTGGGACACGACGACCAGTGCGAGCAGTACGAATAGGCGACGCAGGACGAGACTCAGGCTCACGACGCTCTGTAAGACCTCCTGTGGGACCAGCGTAAGGAGAGGGAGCAGGGAGAGGCGAGGCAGGCGGTAACTGTGACTGCGGCTGGACAGGCGGAGGACACTCTACGGAGGGAGGAGGACAAGGAGGAGGAGCCTGCCCAAGAACCTGCTGAAGGAGCGGTACGAAGTACGGTCGCGGCCGCGCAGCGTCTCCAGAAGCAGCAGGGACACCAGTGGCAGCCCCAACGCCCGAGTCCTCAGCACCAGCAGCAGCTCCAACGCCCGGGTCCTCAGCACCAGTAGGAGCTCCAACGCCCGAGTCCTCAGCACCAGCAGCAGCGCCACCGGTCGGGTCCTCAGCACCAGCAGCAGCTCCAACGCCCGGGTCCTCAGCACCAGCAGCAGGGCCACTGGTCAGGTCCTCAGCACCAGCAGCAGCGCCACCGGTCGGGTCCTCAGCACCAGCAGCAGCTCCAACGCCCGGGTCCTCAGCACCAGCAGCAGCTCCAGCCCCCGGGTCCTCAGCACCAGCAGTAGCTCCAGCGTCCGGGTCCTCAGCACCAGCAACAGCACCACCGCTCGGGTCCGCAGCACCAGGAGCACCACTACGAAGACTGCAGCGCCGCGTGTACCACTCGCGGATCACCTGAATGGGGGGGAGCTCCTGGGTAGGAGGGGAAGTACCGGGACGAGCTCCAGAAGCACCTCTCCGGAGGCGGCAGTACTCGAGGTACCTCTCCTGCAGCTGCTGGGAGGAGAGGGCTCCTCCAGGTGGAGCACGCTCAGGCTCAGCACCCCCAGACTCAGCACCCCCAGGCTCAGTACCTCCAGGCTCCGCACCTCCAGGCTCCGCACCTCCAGGCTCCGCACCTCCAGGCTCCGCACCTCCAGGCTCAGCACCCCCAGGCTCCGCACCTCCAGGCTCAGCACCCCCAGGCTCAGCACCCCCAGACGCAGGACGCGAGTCAACAGCTACCTCGACAGGCTCATCCGGGTCTACCTGGGACACACCTGAGGGAGCGGCACCCTGAGGGGGGAGGGGGTCTGGTACCTCAGCACCTGGAGCGAGGAAGAGAGGCGGGGGGGGGAGCGGGGCAGTGCGGTAGGGGAAGAGGCGGTAGAAGGGGACGGACTCGTCAAAAGTGACGTCCTGAGAGGCCAGAACCCGGCGCGAGGTGACGTGGTAAAACTGCCATCCAGGCGCGTCGGGAACAAAGCCAAGGAAGACACAGGGAAGAGCGCGACGGGAGAGCTTGTCCACAGACGTGTCGCGGACAAAAGCTCGGGATCCCCACACCCGGAAACGCGACGCATCGCCAACCTCTCCCGTCCACCGCAGAGTCGGGGAAGTCTCCGGCAAGGAGACACGGGGCCAGAGGTTGAGCTGATGCGCAGCGTACCGGACCGCAAACGGCCACAGAAAGTGGGGAGCAGCCGCATGGGTCAGGGAGGTACGAGCGACCTCCATGACTAAGCCAATGCGCCGCTCAGCAACCCCATTCTGCTGTGGAGAGGCCGGAAGCGTGTACGACTGCTCAATGCCGTGCTCAGCACAGTAGGCTGCCAGGAGGTCGGAGGCAAACTCACCACCTCTGTCAGAGTGCAAGCGCAGGACAGGAAAGTCCGAGTGAAAGCGCTCGCCTAGCTGGAGACGGGCTCGGCTGATCCAGGGGATCAAAACACCAGGGACGTCACCCTTGGCGCGCAAGGGGAAGACCGTGGTGTAGCGCGAGTAGTCGTCAACAACTATCAGGAAGTACCTCTCCTGACCCTGACCACGGACGCGGGCTGGGCCCCACACGTCCATGTGGAGCGTCTGCAGGGGAGCGGTCGTCGGGGGAAAGGAGGAGGAGTGAGGAGCGGCGCGCTGCCGCCCCTCGACACAGGGAATGCAGTCAGGAGCAGGGGAGTCAGGAAGG